TTACGAATAAAAAAAAAAACTATGTATAAAAATAACTATATGATTAAATTAATACTGTCAGAAGTTTTTTACCATGAAATCTCGATAACTTTAAGCCTAAAACTATAATCTTGCTGTAGACAAATTTTCGACAAACCAACGAAAAAGTTCTAATGTACTATGAATCAAAAGAAAAAATCGAAACAAAGGCAATAGTACAAAAATAAATGTTTAACTCTATTCTAGAACACTAACAACTAATAAAAAAAATTACGAGAGATAATTTTTAGTAGGGATGTTAATGGGATAAGATACTCTGGAGTAACTGTGGAGTATAACCCACTCCATACCGGTGTGGTTTAAACATAACACCACCCTGGATTATAAGATATTATTAATAGGAGTAAATACTCCAGAGTAATGCTATTAATATAAAATGGTTTATACGCCGGAGTATTATGTCCACACTATTAAAACTGTACGTACGTTGTGCCTGTTTGCATTAAAAGAATCCTGATACAATCACATAAACATAAAATATGTGGGTGAGTTTATAACTTTAACGGACTTAGCCCCTGAAAAGTCTGATCAAATTGATACAATAATCTAATTTTTCAGGGGCTGAGTCCGTTAAGTTATAAACTCAAAAGCCCAAGCCCAAAGCCCAGTTTTCCCTTAGTGGTAATTAAATGCGAACACTTGAAGACTGCATCAACTATCAATTAGTTTATATTAATTTCATTACGAAATTTATTAAACATTATACATACTTACACACATGAATTATCTGATCCAAATCATGTATTAAGTCATTGTAATCTTATAATGAGGTCTTCTCTAATCAATTAGTTCATTAAAGCTATTCTCAGGCACCACTCTGAATAGTTTATATGATAATCTAATTGACAACAAAACACAGTACTCCAGGTTATATTTCAAATTATATTCTGGGTTACACTCCGAAGTATACTATGATAAAATACTCTAATGTAGCATGGCGTTAAAGAATACTCTGCCAGAGTATACACCACACCACCCTGAAGCATTCTGTTAACATCTCTAATGTTTAATGTTTAGTGCTTCCTAATATCAAACTGATAATTTTATTTAATAATCATTATATGGTTATAATGTCACTATTTAGCTTTAACTCTTCTATATAATTTATAAGCTTTATGATGCACAATTCATACTGTATTATTAGCCTATATTATTGTCAGGTTTCTTTATTAGTTGGGATTATGAGAAATAAGTTTTCACAATAAAAGACTGGTTAATTGTCGTATTATGATTCCTATAGGCTAAACTTAAAAGTTCAGACATACCTCTCATATAACTTCCGAATTATCTTGAGGATTACTGAATTATTTTGATAGTTGACACACACTTTAAAATTTTTTGAGTCCCAAGCTTTCCAATTCGCATTCGTGGCTAATAAATTTTGGAATATCATCCAATTCAATTAAAAGCCCTCTATGCTAAGTATATTTGTTGATTACCTGAGTTGATTACCTGAGTAACCCATGGGCTTACTTTCCGGTTAACTGAGTAACATTTTTTTGACTGAGTACAAACACTAAGTAATAACTAATGATATTAATATTATAGCAGAAAAAATTTTCTGTAAATTAATTATTTAAAAAAAAAAAAAGATAATAAAGAAAGATTTTTAGTTTACTAAAACTAATGTATTAGTTAAAATGTTTGAATTTTAAAATTTTTACTATTAATATAAGTTTATTGAATCAAAATTTGATTGGCTAATGTATATATAATACCAAAATTTTTTATAATGAAATTTTGATCACTGGTCACATAATAATAGTTCTAGGATTCTTGCACTGTATCCAGTTGCTTTATTTATACAGAGAACATCCAAACATTAAAATGATTAAATTATTAAAAATACACAGTATATAGCTATTTAAGCATTATCTTGTATTAACAAATAAAATAACAGCTTTGGTTTAATGAACTCAAACAAGTTGTTTAGTAATAAAATTATTGATTGGCAGTTAATTATACAGTAATTGAATTCCCAAGCTACTTGCAAAGCGTTTGTGTCATCTTCAAGATGTATATGTTTTTATTATTACTTTTATGTAAGTATAATAAATATTGTAAATTAGGATAATTTAGATTATTGCGTTTTTCAAATTACTGTGATCAGCAAGTTCCACGTATCACACTGGGAATCTGAAATCTAAAATAAATGCAAATCTGTGATTGGCTAAAAATTATTTCCAACCAATCACAGATTTGCATTTATTTTAGATTCTCAGTGAAATTTGCTCACAGTAATTTGAAAAGCGCAATAAAATAAAATTTGATGTTTTTTTCTAAAACCTGCTTGTTGATTATAAATTTTACTCTAAATATGACCCCTAATCTTAAAAAAAAAAAACTCAAAGATATTCCAAAATTTTGTATTTTTTTATTGCTTATTTGCAAACTTTTATTTTATTGCTTATTTATTTTGCAAAATTTTATTTTAATCTGATTTCATTTTAATTTGTTAGTTAATATTATATCCGTGCAAAAATCACAAAAGACCTGCAAATTTACAATTAACCACTATATCTATTTAGAACTTTGAAATCCCAAAATTGATGACATTAAATTCGGTACCTGCAACTAAATTAAGCATTTATGTAGTTTCCGAAAGCTACCTCTAATAATAAGCTACCTCCCTGTTTAAAAAAAAACCCAAAAAAATTGCAAACACTCGCTACATGCAAAGGTCAAAATTTTACTAAGAAACTACCTTTGAGCTTCTAAGTAAAGTTGTTCAGCATCTCAAAATACATTTATTCTAAAAGATTCATGCAATTTGAACAGGTATTTATCGAGATATTTAATTTTCTAAAAAAATCAATGGTTCGAACATAAGCTACCCGTAAAAGTTTGTGTAATTTTTTTTTGTCAAAAGGGGTAGCTTATTTTAAAATAAATAAATTGATATAGACAATATATTATAAGCCAATAATATATCTTTTTTTTTTTTTTTAACTTTTGGCAAATATTAAGCTAAATAGCATTCTAATGTACTAAAATTATAAATTCATCATGTTTATCAACATAATATAAACGAAAATATGTTCATATTGCTTATCTATCTACTTCTCCGAATACAATATCCATAGTACCAATTACTAATCCAATCATAAAAACAAAAATTATGTTAATTAATATTACGAAGACTGTAAATATGAGTATGCAACTTGTCTAATAAATACCTGTAACCATATCAGGAATATAATGTCCACGAGACATAAAGTCTGATCCTGCAAGATGAACGAAGCCTGGGGCACGGATCTTACACCTATATGGACGGTTGGTTCCTAAAGACATATGAAATTGTTGTTATTATTTCAATTCAACATTGAAAGTTATAAGAAACCTAGTTAGCTCACCATCTGAAACCAAATAAACACCAAATTCTCCCTTGGGGGCCTCTATTGCAGTATAAGTTTCGCCGGGAGGAACCGAGTATCCTTCCGAATACAATTTGAAATGATGAATTAACGCCTCCATATTTTCTTTCATAGATGCTCTATTTGGTGGAGCTATTTTCCAATCATCAACCTTCACAGGTCCAGGTGGCATTATGTTTAAACATTGGTGAATAATCCTCAAACTTTGTCTCATCTCTTCCATACGACATAGATATCTGTCATAGCAATCTCCTGTTGAGCCAATTGGTATATCAAACTCAACTTTATCGTATGCATCATAGGGTTGAACTTTACGCAGATCCCATTCAACACCAGAACCACGTAACATCACCCCAGAAAAGCTATAATCCAATGCATTTTGCATGGTAACGATTCCAATGCCTTTTGTACGATTTATCCATATGCGATTTCCCGTTAGCACCTCATCAACTTCATCAACACGAGCACTAAATTGTGTGGCCCATTGGTAAATGTCTTCCATTAAACCTAAGGGTAAGTCTTGTGAAACACCTCCAGGACGCACGTATGCTGCATGTAAACGAGCACCAGAAACACGCTCGTAGAATTCCATCAACTAGAAGAATAATACACAAATGTACCGTATCGTCGTATTATAAATAATAATAAATTGAATCATTTGATTAAAGTGAGAATTAATCAACCTTTTCACGTTCCTCGAACATCCATAAGAAAGGAGATAATGCACCAATATCTGAAAAAGTATATTATATAGTTATACGTCATTGATATCAATGGAATCTTTTCAAGCCAAATCCATTCTTTTGAGCGATAAAATTAGAACATTTAAAAAAAAAAATAATAATAATAAAAATAATTGAAGATAAAAATTTAGTGCATGAACAATAATTACCCAATGCATGAGTCGTAACAGCCATGATATGATTCTTAATTCTAGTGATCTCAGCAAACATAGTTCGAATAACTTTTGCCCTTTCAGGAATTTCAATATTCAACAACTTTTCGACAGCCAACGAATAACATTGTTCATTGGTCATCATTGAAACGTAATCTAGTCGATCAAAATAAGGGAGAGCTTGAAGATATGTCTTATACTCGATGAGCTTTTCAGTTGCACGATGTAAAAGACCAATATGAGGATCAGCACGGACAATTTGTTCACCCTTCAATTCTAGAATCATACGAAGTACACCATGGGCTGCTGGGTGTTGAGGGCCAAAATTTATGGTAAAACCTTGTTTTGTGGACGCTTCTTGAGGATCGGTCCATTCTTTTATAATTTGTTGGCATTAGCATTAATTATCGATTATTAAATATATAGAAACGAATTAAAGAAAAACAATAATATTCCGTACCAATTTCTTCTTCCTCTTTGCCAAATATGGAAGCTAATATTTGGAGATAAATATAATTAAAAACATGTTATAGTTAAATTGACAAAATAATTAAAATTAACTAACAATTAAGTC